TGTTTTTTATTTTAAAGTTTTTAATTTATGTTGAGAGAGAGCATGAGTAGGGGAGGGGCAGAGAGGGAGAGAGAGAATCCCAAGCAGGCTCCACACTGACAGCAGTGACTGTGGGGCTCAGTCCCACAAACCATGAGATCGTGACCTGAGCCAAACCCAAGAGTTGACTGAGCCACCCAGGTGCCACTAAAAGAATATTTCTTTAAACATTCTACCTAAACTGGGGCACCTGGGTGGCTCAGTCGGTTAAGCATCGGACTTTGGCTCAGTTCATGATCTCATGGTCTGTGAGTTCAAGCCCTGCATTGGGCTCTGTGCTGACAGGTCAGAGCCTGGAGCCTGCTTCAGGTTCTGTATCTCCCTCTCTCTCTGCCCCTCCCTTGATCGCCCTCTCTCTCTCTGTCTCTCAAAAATAAATTACCATTTTTTAAAGCCCCACAGTGATCCTTAAAAAAAATAAAAATTCAACCTAAACTCATCTAGCTCATTCTGGTGCAATTTCTATCTTACTTCTTTGCAAACATTAACACATGTTTTAAGGACTTTATTCTTAAGTAATCTCCACATCTACCATGGGGCTCGAACACACAACCCCGAGATCAAGAGTTGCACGGTCTACCGACTGAGCCAGTCAGGTGCCCCAACATTAACACATTTTAATCTTCATATAAACCCTCCAGAACATGTCCTATCCTTTTCTCCATTTTTCTTGAAGAAACTGGGGACCGATCATTAATTAGCTTGCCTTCACTCGGCCAGCTCTAAGTGGTGGGGACTGCAAACTGCATAGGGCAGCTCCTCTCGGTGACCTCAGGACAGCCTGCATCTCGCCAGCTGGGAGGTGTCTGTCCTGTTTCAGAGAGGGTGGGGTCCTGGTTTTCCAACACAATTAAAAAAATTTTTTTTTCAACGTTTATTTATTTTTGGGACAGAGAGAGACAGACCCTGCTGATTGACAGGGGAGGGGCAGAGAGAGAGAGGGAGACACAGAATTGGAAACAGGCTCCAGGCTCTGAGCCATCAGCCCAGAGCCCGACGCGGGGCTCGAACTCATGGACCGCGAGATCGTGACCTGGCTGAAGTCGGACGCTTAACCGACTGCGCCACCCAGGCGCCCCTCCAACACAATTTTAACTTGCACTGAGCTTTGATTTTCTATTTGTGCTCAAGGTTAATTTCTATTCGTACTCAACGTTTTTCCTCTGCTTCCTAGCCCTGTGCTCTCTGTCTTTGTTTTCTTCATTGAGTTGTGTACTGAATTTCTCTTTGTCATGTGGGACAAAGTCTCTCTTTACCAATTATTAGTGTATTAGTCAGGGTTCTCCAGATAAGCAGAACCAATAGAGTCTATTGTAAAGAGTGAATATATATGTGTATATATATTTGTGTAAAATATGTGTGTGTATATGTATATGTGTAAAAAAAATTTGTGTTTATTTTTAATTTAAACTCAAGTTAGTTAACATACAGTGTAGTCTTGGCTTCAGGAGTAGAGCCCAGTGACTGGTCTCTTACATAGGACACCCAGAGCTCATCCCCAAAAGTGCTCTCCTTAATGCCCATCACCCATTTAACACCCCCATCCAGCAACCTTTTGTTCTCTGTATTTAAGAATTGCTTATAGTTTGTCTCCCTCTCTGTTTTTATCTTATTTTTCCTTCCCTTCCCCCATGTTCATCTGTTGAGTTTCTCAAATTCCACATACGAGTGAAATCATACGATGTCTGTCTTTCTGTGACTGACTTATTTCGCTTAACATAATACCCTCTAGTTCCATCCACGTTGTAGCAAAAGGCAAAGGCTTCATTCTTTTCGATCGCAGAGCAATACTCCATTGTATAAATATACCACATCTTCTTGATCCATTCATCCATCGATGGACATTTGGGCTCTTTCCATATTTTGGCTATTGTCGATAGCGCTGCTATAAACATCGGGGTGCATGTGCCCCTTTGAGTCAGCATTTTTGTATCCTTTGGTTACATACCTAGTAGTGCAATTGCTGGGTCGTAGGGTAGTTCTATTTTTAGTTTTTTGAGGAACCTCCACACTGTTTTCCAGAGCGACTGCACCAGATTGCATTCCCACCAACAGTGCAAGAGGGTTCCTCTTTCTCCCCATCCTCACCAACATCTGTTGTTTCCTGAGTTGTTAATTTTAGCAATTCTGACTGGTGTGAGGTGGTATCTCATTGTGGTTTTGATTCGTATTTCCCAGATGATGAGTGATGTTGAGCATTTTTTCAGTGTCGGTTGGCCGTCTGGATGTCTTCTTTGGAGAAGTGTCTATTCATGTCTTTTGTCCGTTGATAAGTTTCTTATAGATTTTGGATACTAACCCTTTATCTGATGTGTCCTTTGCAAATATCTTCTCCCATTCCATCGGTTTTATTGATTGTTTCCATTGCTGTGCAGAAGCTTTTTATCTTGATGAGGTCCCAATAGTTCATTTTTGCTTTGGTTTCCCTTGCCTCTGGAGACATATCAAGTAAGAAGTTATATAAATTATATTTAGGTATATAATATTTTAAATGTAAATTATATGTTTAAGTACAACTTATAGAGATAAATTTTAAATGCATATATATGTATATGTATATTTAAATATATACTTAGCATAAGAATCAGCTCATGGGTTATAGAACCAGAAGTCCCACCATCTACTACCTGTCAGCTGGAGACCCAGGAGAGCCTGTGGGACAAATCAGCCCCAGTCTGCAGGCCCAAGAACCAGGCGCTATGATGTCCTGGACAGGAGAAGATGGTTGTCTCAGCTCAAGAAGAGAGAGATGGAATTGGACCTCCTTCCCCTTTCTGTTCCATCCGGCCCCGAGGGGGTTGGAAGATGTTGGTCCACCTCGTCGTCACTCAGTCCACGGAATCAAATGCGAATCTTTCAGAAACCCGCCCGCACACTGGCCCAGAAGTCCTGTTTTCCCAGCTCTCTGCCCGCCCTCCCCCCACCCCCCTGTCAGGTTGTACCTACAAACAACCATCACAGTCAGATGGTGAGTCTCCCCTCAAAATCTGGCTCGTTTGACCCTGACCAGAGCCAGGCTCTTAGCAAGGGAAGGGCGGACAGCATGGCATTGGGAAAGAGACGACTCCAGAATATTCTGCCCCTTCCAGAGGAGGAACGGCCGACCAGGTGGGGCATCTGCTCTAGTGAAAAGGAGACCTATGAGTCCCAGCAGTGAGGCTGCAGGGGCAGCAGAAGGGGTTTAGGGGGAATTTTGGAAGGAGAGCAAGATAAAGCCCACACGCCTTCTATCTCGGGGGCTTGGCGGGAAGAGGAGAGGACAGAAAAGCAGACGTTGTGGACCAGTCTTTCCTCCTTGACCCTCCAGCCACAGACCCCAGGGTCAGGACTCGGCCCCTGGATGTCCCTACTTTCCTGCATGAGGGTTGCGGCCCCTGAGCGCCACCTGGAGGCCAAGGCTGGTATAGCACCCCTGGTGGCTCCAGTGTGGCCAGGCAGAGAGGGAGGGCTACCTTGCCCTGGGACTCCCCCAGTTCCGGAGGTGTGCCCTGGGGGCGAACGCCAGGGGGGCCGTCGCTGTGGGAGGAGAGATCCCACCTGGGCCGGATGGGGCAGGAGCGGGTGCCCAGATACATGCACTGAACCCCTGGGACAAAGGGGACACGGAGATCACCAGAATGGTCCCCAGGCCCCAAGGGAGCAGAGAAAGGCTGGATCCTGTGACCACTGAGCATGGACATCAGCTGGGCCTGCAGCAAGCTGGTGAGCAAACCCCGCAGTCCCCAGTCAGCTCGGACCCAGGGACCAGCAGG